TCTCTCTCTCTCTCTCTCTTCAGAATATTCTGTATATATATAAGGCATCTCTCTCTCTGACTCTCTCTCTCTCTCTCTCTCTCTCTCTGACTCTGACTATCTCTCTCTCTCTCTCTCTACTACATTATACATTATCCTAGATACTTTCTGGAACGCCACGAATTAGTATCGGCAATCAATTTCGAGAAATGGCAGGAAATATCGCTGGTAATCGGCTTCTCAATGTCCCTGCTCTTAGTGTACATCACGATGCCATTAGTGCTGCAACTATCCAGCGCATCGGCGCTCAATATATCCATACTATCCTCGGATTTCTATTCACTAATGTTTGGCATCTATTTATTTCGCTTCAAATTTCACTGGCTTTACGTCGCCTCCTATGTCGCGGTGATCACCGGCTTTTTGGTGTACTTCTTAGAGCCCACCCAACCCTCCCGTACCGCCGCTCAAGACAATGACTTTCACGAGACACACGTGAATAGTGACTATCGTCGTGATATGGATATACAGCCTGTGATGACCATCACCGGCGACTATATGGGCGATGAGGATACCACCGGTGCTTACAATCAGTATAACTCTCAGTACAATATGATAAGTGTTAGTGATCTGCAAAATACATACATGACTGCAGTTAATGTTCATTCACGCGATGAATTCAATGGTAAACCCATCGACTGATTATTATTGTGTTTGTATTTGTGTTGACTTTTTCCTTAAACTCGTTATCAAATGGAAAGTTTGTATTGAATTTATTGCAATCATATGTGAAAAATATGTACATTTATTGCATTTTGTAACTCATTTACTGATTGATGCATCGATTGTTACTCGCTATTCATTAATCATTATAACAAAAAAAGTTTTTTTAAATGAAGTTTCAATTAAAAAAAGTTTTATTATTATACATGCATTTTAAATTATAACCCGTTTTTATATATATAAAATATTAATACATTGACTAATATTTATAATTATTTGTAAAATATAAATTTTATAGAATTTATTTAACATGTAATATATTTGTATAATAAAAATTAAGTGAATTGAAAATAATAAAATAAAATAAATACATTTCGTAATACATTAGCCATAACGAGATTTTCACAAAATTACTTCACGTACTAAACAAATATCTATAATTTAGACCATTTAACTAGTATTACATGGGGTTGGGCTACTTATACCCTATAATATACCACCACCACCACCACCACCACCACCATCACAAAAGTTACTGTAAATATAATTAATGACCAAAAGGGCTGTGTGTTTGTGAAGGACTGGTATATGTCTATTGTCCGCCAACTTTCACCATAACTTATCTTTGATTAAAAATCTATCGACAGATACCATGAATAGAGAGACAGTATATGACAGAGACATAGAGGCCGGGGCTTCACCACTACTGGAGAAACCAATTTCACTGTCAATACAGTTTTTGTTGTCTATTTGTTTAAACCAAATCACTATTTGTTTGCACAGCAAAAGTGCTCAAAAAAACTTGATTTAATAACACTAACCGATTTCATCAAGTAGGTATTAACTAATTTAATTAAATAGACTGCTTATACATAAGTTATACACAAATGCTACCTATTTACTAATCATAACACTATTGAACTTATTATTTTAAACTCATTAAACTAGTAATTATTGTTTATCGTGTGTGTGATTATTAAGTCTTAAAATTCAAGGATTTTTTAAAAAGTTTTTTTTCGCAGACAATTGAGTTAATAATTTTTGAAAACAATTTATTTTTCTCTCCATAACTAAGAGGAAATGCGATGAGTATATCGTTCAGTAAATCTTCATTTGATTTATATATTTTAGCTGGATGTGTTAAATAAAAAACTTAGCAATGAATTATGTGTTTTTAGCGAAAATATATATTTTATATACTGTATATATACAGTAATATATTTTTACACATAGCGTGTGCTAATCCATAGCCTAATTCGTTGAGCACATAAAACGTAAATTCAATTGTCTAGATAAATAAAAATAACATATAAGCAAATAAATACTAATTCATTACGCGATTAAAACTTTTGCTAAAAGTTTTTAAACTCAGTGTTTAGCCCATTATTAGTCAAAGAAAAAAAAGTTGTTTAGACGTCTGTTTCGGACAAATGATTATTTGTGTAATTAATGTAATGGTTAGGCAATCAAATATTGCACATCGCATACATTCACACAAATTATTAAATTGTATTTTCATTAAACAATTGATTAGTCAGTTGTTGTTTATGATCATAGCCCGGGGCATAGCATATATATATTGGCGTCAAAAGCCTATTGTATTTAACATTTTGGGTGCAAACTCTTCATACAATACAATGCAATCTGTGCTGTATGCTGTGCGAAGTTTTAGCTAACTTTCCCATTGGAAATGACATGAATTGGCAGTCAGTGCTATACGTGTGTTGATATGATCTCAAGTGAAATATAATCTCGCTAAATTAGTTATGTCTTATCGCACATC